GACCCCGCCTCTGGCCCGGCCCCGCCTTCCCGCGGGTCCGCAGCGCTGACCCCGCCCTCGTCCCTGCCCGGCCTCCCCTCGGGGTAACAGCTGCGCCACGTCCCTCCCCACCTCCCTCCCCGGGACCCTCCGCGTGGGTGGGGGGGAATGACAAGACCCCGTCTTAAAGGGGCGGTGGCACTGGCCCTGGACAGACATGGTAGGGTGCGTCAGCCCTAACCCGCACCCCTCTTACCAACCCCTCTCTGACCTGGAGTGGACGCACCCTCCTGCCCGGCGGCCACAGCGAGTTCCCAAGGATTTGGGCTGGTGGCCAACAGCTGGCGGGCAGCAGGGTGAGAGGTGTGGAGCAGTCAGCAGGGAAGATGCTCCAGACAGCTCCTCCAGGCTGGTGCAGGGCGCGGATTCCAGAGATTCTGGAGAGGAGTCACTCCACCCAGCCGGGAGGCCCTCCCTCCCCGGCTGCCAGGAGAGCCAGCATTCTGGTGGGTGTGGAGAGCCTGTCCCCTCGGTAGGGCTGGGCCAGGCTGGCCGGGCCAGGCCTGGGCAGAGATGGGGCCACTGGTGGCATTTGTGGATCCTGAGGCCTTCCTGTCCATGGGGAGTCGTTCAGTGACCAGCACAGGGCTGAGGGGGTCTTTGCAGCACCATCGGTGGGCATGCGAGCCTGGCCACCTGGGAGGGCCTGTGCCAGGCAGGGTGGATGTTAGGGGGCGTGCCGCAGCCACAGCGTGCTCTCTCAGTGTGACAACCACACACACACACACACACACACACACACGACAGCGTCTCCCAGGTCAATCCTGTGCTTGTACAGGGTGAGTTCAACATCACAAAACAAAAAAAAAGTGCCACGCCACATACACTTGGTTGAAACTTTTGGAATGAAAGGTTCTGGACAGGAGTGGAGCCTGGCATAGACTCAAGCCCCAGGCATCCCCCAGGAGTTGGTGGAGAACTGGATTCCCTAAAAAAGACAATCTGGTCAGACTTAACCCGTTGTTCTCTGAGAGAGAGAAGTTCCAGTGTGACTGCTGCTCACCACAATGACCCAGGCCCAGTGGCAGGATGCCTGCCCTGTGCCCTGACAAGTCCCACCTGGGAGAGCGTCTGTCCTGCTCCAGGCCAGTTCAGGCCTGCCATCGTATACAATAACTCTTGTTTCCTCCTCTAACAAGCAGCTCAGTATCCAACCACCATGGG